AGCTCCAGGTGTCGATTCAAATGTGAGCAACAAAGCCCCCAGTGTCAACTCCACCCATATGGCTATATGCCTCTTATAGCTTTGGGACCAGGTAACAGGGTGAGGCAGTGAAGCCAGTCCACAGAGTCAACCAAGTTCAAATTGCAAGCCTTTTCAATGGCATCTATATTCCACCTCCCAATAAACTGGAGCAATTTGGTATCTAGACTCCTTGCGGAACTGGCTTCCCATGGTCTCTCCCCACCTACCCTTTTATGGGACCTTGTGCTCCTTCACTTCTCCCTAGCCAGTTCATGTTGGAGCTGTTCCTCCTCATGTTTGTACTGTTTCTATCAATCAGCTCACTCCTTTTCATGGTCCTTTAGTGTCTGTTCCTTTAGCTGAAGCTTTCTCACTTCCAGCTCCAACTTGCACTGTTCCAACTCTGGCGATGGGGAGTCAGGTCGTAAAGACACCCTGCTACTGCCTCTGTTGCCCTCAGACTCTCTCAGGACTCCACCTGGACCTGGACCCTGGCTCGATTACTCTTCTCCAGACAGGCAATGAGCTGGGCCTTGTTTAACCTCCCAACATTTAACTCTCTTTCCCTACACAGCTCTTCTTAGGGAGGTGGATATACACCATTGTCTTGCCTTTTCTTTTGACTAATCTTGTTTTTATTGCTGCAAGTCACTTACTGCAAAATATTATTGGTGCATTCAGTATCCTACGGCTCCCACCAAGCATCCCAGGCCTGTGGGATCTGTGCTATACCCCAGATTCTGAACAGCCCCTTGCAGGATCACCATCAGTGTGCCAGACCCCCAAGGGGTCTCACTCATCCTTAAGGGTAGGCCACACAGCTTCAATGCCTCAAAGCCTCAGACTCTGGGCTCCAGCCCTCCTGCTTCACCCTGTGAGCTCTGCCCAACAAGTCTCACTGAGACAGACTCCTGTTCAGAGACTTTCTGCCCTCTTCAGGGATCAATGCACCTCATCAAGGATTTCCACTGACACCAGGCAGCCCTTTCAAAACAGAGCAGGGTTTATTAGCCAACTGGAACACAGTAGGGCAGTCCTTAGGTTAGCACAGAGAAGCAAAGGTGAAGACAGAGTTCAGACTGGCCAAGGCCAGGGCTCCACCCAGTCAAGCTGCTAGAATCCATTTTGGCTGTCTCTTTGTCCGTCCGTCTCAGGTGACAGCATCTGTTTCTTTCCAAAGACCAGCTCTTAACATAGCCACCTGATACCTCCCCCTTTGTTCTCCAGCTCAGGGTCTTTCTTTGGTCTGCTTCCTTCCTTTTGGCTGTTGGTTGCTAGGCATGAAAGTCCCTGCCATTCGGGTTTCCATTGTTTTTCAGGATGCTCCATTGGTCTGGGTTGGTTTCAGCTAGTCCTTTAACAACCCATTGATACCATCCCAGGCAATTAGTAGGGGAAGCAAAAGTGGAGGGGAACCTGGGAGGTAGTGACCATGAGATGGTCGAGTTCAGGATCCTGACTCGGAAAAAAAGAAGAATACGGACCCTGGACTTCAGAAAAGCAGACTTTGACTCCCTCAGGGAACTGATGAGCAGGATCCCCTGGGAGAATAACATGAGGGGGAAAGGAGTCCACGAGAGCTGGCTGTATTTTAAAGAATCTTTATTGAAGTTACAGGAACAAACCATCCTGATGATAAGAAAGGATAGTAAATATGGGAGGCGACAGCTTGGCTTAACAGTGAAATCCTTGCTGATCTTAAACACAAAAAAAAAGCTTACAAGAAGGGGAAGATTGGACAAATGACCAGGGAGGAGTATAAAAATATTGCTCGGGCATGCAGGAGTGAAATCAGGAAGGCCAAATCACACTTGGAGTTGCAGCTAGCAAGAGATGTAAAGAATAACAAGAAGGGTTTCTTCAGGTATGTTAGCAACAAGAAGAAAGTCAAGGAAAGAGTGGGCCCCTTACTGAATGAGGGAGGCAACCTAGTGACAGAGGATGTGGAAAATGCTAAAGTACTCAATGCTTTTTTTGCCTCCGTCTTCACGAACAAGGTCAGCTCCCAGACTGCTGCACTGGGCAGCACAGCATGGGGAGGAGGTGACCAGCACTCTGTGGAGAAAGAAGTGGTTCAGGACTATTTAGAAAAGCTGGACGAGCACAAGTCCATGGGGCCGGATGTGCTGCATCAGAGAGTGCTAAAGGAGTTGGCCAATGTGATTGCAGAGCCATTGGCCATTATCTTTGAAAACTCATGGCGATCGGGGGAGGTCCCGGACGACAGGAAAAAGGCTAATGTAGTGCCGTTCTTTAAAAAAGGGAAGGAGGAGGATCCGGGGAACTACAGGCCAGTCAGCCTCACCTCAATCCCTGGAAAAATCATGGAGCAGCTCCTCAAGAAATCAATTCTGAAGCACTTAGAGGAGAGGAAAGTGATCAGGAACAGTCAGCATGGATTCACCAAGGGCAAGTCATGCCTGACTAATCTAATTGCCTTCTATGATGAAATAACTGGCTCTGTGGATGAGGGGAAAAGCAGTGGACATGTTATTCCTTGATTTTAGCAAAGCTTTTGACACGGTCTCCCACAGTATTCTTGCCAGCAAGTTAAAGAAGTATGGGCTGGATGAATGGACTATAAGGTGGATAGAAAGCTGGCTAGTCATCGGGCTCAACAGGTAGTGATCAATGGCTCCATGTCTAGTTGGCAGCCGGTATCAAGTGGAGTGCCCCAAGGGTCAGTTCTGGGGCCAGTTTTGTTCAATATCTTCATAAATGATCTGGAGGATGGTGTGGATTGCATCCTCAGCAAGTCTGCAGATGACACTAAACTGGGAGGAGTGGTACATACACTGGAGGGTAGGGTCAGGATACAGAGGGACCTAGACAAATTAGAGGATTGGGCCAAAGAAATCTGATGAGATTCAACAAGGACAAGTGCAGAGTCCTGCACTTAGGATGGAAGAATCCCAGGCACTGCTACAGACTAGGGACCGAATGGCTCAGCAGCAGTTCTGCAGAAAAAGACCTAGGGGTTACAGTGGATGAGAAGCTGGATATGAGTCAACAGTGTGCCCTTGTTGCCAAGAAGGCCAATGGCATTTTGGGCTGTATAAATCGGGGCATTGCCAGCAGATTGAGGGAGGTGATCGTTCCCCTCTATTCGGCATTGGTGAGGCCTCATCTGGAGTACTGTGTCCAGTTTTGGGCCCCACACTGCAAGAAGGATGTGGATAAATTGGAGAGAGTCCAGCGGAGGGCAACAAAAATGATTAGGGGACTGGAACACATGACTTATGAGGAGAGGCTGAGGGAACTGGGATTGTTTAGTCTGCAGAAGAGAAGAATGAGGGGGGATTTGATAGCTGCTTTCAACTACCTGAAAGGGGGTTCCAAAGAGGATGGATCTAGACTGTTCTCAGTGGTAGCAGATGACAGAACAGGGAGTAATGGTCTCAAGTTGCAGTGGGGGAGGTTTAGGTTGGATATTAGGAAAAACTTTTTCACTAGGAGGGCGGTGAAGCACTGGAATGTGTTACCTAGGAAGGTGGTGGATTCTCCTTCCTTTGATGTTTTTAAGGTCAGGCTTGACAAAGCCCTGGCTGGGATGATTTAGTTGGTGATTGGTCCTGCTTTGAGCAGGGGGTTGGACTAGATGACCTCCTGAGGTCCCTGCCAACCCTGACATTCTGTGATTCTATGAATAGTTACCTGACCCAATGTCTTATGTCATGTCTCCTGCTCTGTCCCTAAAGCAGCTTTTTAACCCTTTACATTCCATCCACAGCAATGCAAAACACGGAGAGAAACTGAGGCACACATACAAATCATACAGATATTAGCAAAATTCCCACATTTGTCACACCCTACAGAAGTCGGAGGGGGAATGAGGAGGATTCTCCAAAGGACATGGTGAAGGAGTGATTAGAGAGGTAGGAGGAGAACCAGGAGAGGACAGATTCACAGAAGCCCAAGGAGGACTAGACTGCAAGAAAAATAGCATGGTCAACTGCATCAAAGGTTGGTGGCTGGCTGGAGAAGAAGGATGAGGATGGAGCAGTGACTCTGAGATTTGGCTAGGGACAGGTCACTGGAGATTTTGGTGACAGCTGTGCCAATGTAGCGTTGGGAGTGGAAGCCTGATTGGAGAGGGTCTCAGATGGAACTGGAGGAAAGGAATTGAGAGAAGAGTGGGCTCAAGGACTTTTGTTTTGTTTTAAAATGGGAACCGACATGGGGAACAAATATTTAACAACATGCTCTTCAGTCTAGGAGAGAAAGCTTGAACATGACCCAACGGCTAGAAGCTGAAGCCAGACAAATTCAGTCTGGCAATAAGGCATAACTGTACAATGGGGAAGGTGACGAATCATTGGAAGAAGGTGCCTGGGGTCGTGGCGGATTCTCCATCAGTTGCCATTTCTGAACCCGGACAGGATGTTTTCGTAAGAGCTCTGCCCCGGGGATCAGTGTGGGGCAGTTCTCTGGGCCGTGCTAGCTTACGGGAAGGGTCCCTTCTACCTCGGGATCTAGGACTCCCCACAGGGCACGCACAGAGTGGTCTTCCTGCCCCATCCACACCCACTCCATAGGGTTCATACAATGGTCTCCCCCATCCACCCCCCACAATGGTCTCCCCCGTCTCCTCCCTGCCCGCCCCCACATTAGTATCCCCCATCTGCTACCCCATCCCCACCAGGTGCACAAGATGGTCTCCCCCATCCCCTTCCTGCCTCCCCCCCCCCACGCACAATGGTCTCCCCCCCATGTGCAACCACATCCCCTCCCCCCTCAGGGTGCACACAATAGTATCCCCCGTCTCCATCCACTCCCCGCCCCAATCACCCTCAACACATCATAATCCTCCCCACAGAATGGTCTCCCCCATCCGCAAGTCCATCCTCCCCCTGGTCTCCCCGATCCTCCCCGGGCGCATAGATGGTCTCGTCCGCCCCGCTCTGTGTATGAGGCGCGGACGATCACATTCTCTCCCGGGGAGGGGTGTTTATCCCCGGGCGGGCGGTCAGGGAACTCACCGGGCCACCACCAGCTCGCTCCCTTCTACCCTTCACATCCGGCCGGTGTTTCAGCAAAACGACTCCCCCGCTCCGCCGACCGCTCAACCAGCCCTTCCCCCCAGCAACACTTCCGAATGGCAGCACCCGAGCCCACGTGACTAGGGGCAGCCCCACTTCCGGCGCCAAGGAGGCGGCCGGAGCTTCGGCCCCGCTTTTGCTCGGAGCTAGACTCGCCGGGGGCCGGCTGTGCACATGCGCAGTGACCGCCCCGTCGAGGGCCGAGGGCCCCGAGCCCCCTGCGCCTGCGCCGCGGCTCAGCGATAGCCGGTGTCTGTCTGGTGCCGGCAAACGGCCACCGCTCCCAGTCGCCAGATCAAAAGCTTCGGGGGGTCGCGGCCTCCTGCCCCCTCGGGACCACCCCGAGGCGGAATATTGGGGCACTGGGGCCTTATGAGCGGATGGACTCATCCTGAAAGGGACGCAGGGCAGCCCTGAAGCGCAGCATCGCTGCTGGGGAGCTGAGCTCAGGTCTCTAGTCAAGCCTGCCTGGACCCTGGCCTTTTAACCAGTGCTCTCGCCCGAGTCTTTGTCATCCATCGTCGTTTAGTTCACGGGGGTTGGCTGCGGGCACTAGGGCAAGAGCTGAAATAGTCACTGACCTGGGAGGTAAGGTGTCCCAGCCTTTAGCCTTGGCACAGCTTTTTATATGATGAACCAGATTTTCAATAATCCTCATCATATCTGACTTGGCTGTGTGGGTGGACGCCCAGGGCTGGGTTGCTTTAAAGGAACTGTATTTTTGCCTGCTGGGTAACCAGTAAAGCATTGTGGAAGCTGTTTTTGTTGCTGGCAATAACCATCAATTCTGGGGATTCTCTGCCACATTCTTTGCAATTTGCAATTAAGCAATCTCAGGGTGACCCCCCCTGGGACCCCAGTCACACCCTCTTTTATACTTCTTCAGCTTGCTGGAAAGATCTTTGCTGTGAAGTGGGGATCAGGCAGTCCCCATTGGTCAAGCAGTCTCCGTTGCATATGTGCCTTCTCTAAGGGGTCTCTGGGATAGTGGATTCTTTTTTTGAGGGGTGTTGATGAGCCATTAACGCTGTCTGGCTATTGATGGCTACTCCTTTGTTGTAACTGAAAGGCTGGTTGTGGGTGTTCCCAACTTCACAACCTATTTCAGTAACACACATATAGAAATACTTCATAACTTCACAAACCATGCTAGTTCATACAATCCAACGGGATATTAATGTTCAACAGATCAAGACTTTAAAATGATACCTTACAAGATTTACTTTGTAGAAAACATATCGTAATCATATCACCATGGTGAATATGGAGGTTCAAGGCTGCTACTTTGAGGTACAGACTGTCACACAAATCCAGTTATCATTCATACTAAGATAAACACCTATTTTCTGCTGATCAATTATATTTGGGGATAGATTCTGTTAGGATATAGATATTCAGGCCTGTCGGTAAAGGCCTGTACTCGAAGAATTTAGGTGTATTCTTATCACTTGGCTAGTTATAGAGATATAAAAGAAAGAAAGAATCAAAATCACTGTCTGCTGGTATAAGGGCCGTCTCTTACTGTGACAGTCTGAGGCCCTGTTCTTAGGCTAAGGCCTTTGGCTAAGCACTAGAGGCAGCCATAAGCTGGGAAGTGTATGGTCACATCCTCACATTCCAAACTAGTCACATTGAAATAAGGTGATATTGGGCTGTTAGGAATACAATCCTGTCCTGATAGTGTCTATCGCCTCCAGAGAAAGGGAAAATGTAAAAGGAAACTTAGTTTGATAGCATCCTGTCTGGCAAGAACTCACTTATCAATAGCTGGGATGTGAAATCCTCACTTCTGTATTGTTTTGTCATTATAGATCCCACTTTGGTATTGTTTATCTGTATAATCTCTGTCTGGTTCTGTGATTGTTCCTGTCTGCTGTATAATTAATTTTGCTGGGTGTAAACTAATTAAGGTGGTGGGATATAATTGGTTACAATATGTTAGGATCGGTTAGTTAAATTTCAGGAAAATGATTGGTTAAGGTATAGCAAAGCAGAACTCAAGTTTTACTATATAGTCTGCAGTCAGTCAGGAAGTGTGGGGCGGGAATTGGAATCATGTTTTGCTAAAGGGGGAAATGGGAACAGGGACACAGGTGTAAGGCTCTGTGGTGTCAGAGCTGGGAAGGGGGACAAAATTGGAATCATTGCTTGCTGGAAGTTCACTCCAATAAACATTGAATTGTTTGCACCTTTGGACTTCGGGTATTGTTGCTCTCTGTTCATGCGAGAAGGACCAGGGAAGTAAGCGGGTGAAGGAATAAGCCCCCTAACAGATTCACAAACTAATTTCGGTGTGGCACTGCTCAGGAAGGGGATTCCTTCACTCTCTCATATTGAAGCTGTTCCAGTGTGGATAAACAATGGAAAACTCATGGGGCTAGAGGGAAAACAAGCATAAGAATGACTGAGTAGTCGAGTGCTTGGTACACTCATCGGAAAGGTGGGAGACCTGGGATCCAGACACTCTGCTCCGATGACTTTTTAAATTATTTCTCCACAGTGGCACAGCTTCAATAAGAGTGACTGCGGGCTTTTCCCCAGATAAGGGTATCCTCAAGCCCAGTGGTTACAACACCCATGTGGAGGGTGGCAGATCCTAATTCTCCTCCCCTCTCTCAGATGGAAAGGGGAGTTGAACTGGGGATCTCCCATGCCTTAGGTGAGTACCCTAACCACTGGGCTAAAAGTCACGAGCAAGGGCCTCTGCCCCCCTCCCTGTAGTTGTTTTGTGTTAGCTTGGCTATAGGGGCCTGATCCAGTAGGCGAGCTCTGAGTATGCTGACCAGATCAAACCCCAGGCTAGTTAAGTGGAAGAACTCCTATTTTCCCGGTTCATGCATGGCTCTGGGACTTAGGCATCCAGATGCCTGGCGTGGAGCTGCAGTGCGCGGGCTCAGAAGCAGGAACATAGGTACCTAAGGAATTTTTACTGCAAAAATTCAGGCGCCAGGTGAGTTAAGGCAACTTCAGGGTTCACGAGCAGATGAGCAGAGGTTTGGTGACTCTCAGTGTGATCTGATTCTGGGATTTAGCCGCCTGAAGTGGCAATTAGGTGCCTACGTCCCTTTGTGAATCCAGCCCACATTGATTATCAGTCTCCTTTACTAAGATTGGCTATTGCTGCCAAATACTGAAGAATATTCTTCATTCCTAGTTATTGGTTACTATGGATTACTGTTTACTTACTACCAATTCTGATCAGTTATTATTAATACTGATATCTACAGCTAACTATTATTGCTATTCAGTTATAGATTCATATGCTAATTGCTTTTTGATTATTGTTTACTAACAATTATTTTGATAAGTAATTAAACGATTACTGATTTTTTGTTATTGATTACTGATTATTTATATTGATCACTGCTATTATAACCTAGTAATGATCAATTATTGCTCATTCACTAATAAGCTGGACACTGATTAGTGATTATTATAACGGATTATTAAGATGATTGCTTGCTGATTGCTGTGATGTAATACTGATTATTGTAATTGGTTATTACTATTGCTGATTATTGATGGATGATTGATTACTCCTGACTCTAATTAATAATAGTTACTATTATCAGTCGCTAAGTGGTGTGATGGGGCACATCACTGATTACTCTAGTTAATTATGGATTGCTGTCGATTGCTGGTTGCTTTGATGGTGGCTGATTCTTGATGACTGATTGGTTATTGATGGCTATTATCAATAGCTGCGATGGGGGTTGATTACTGATGGCTCGAATTGATTACTGATTACTACGGATGGCTGATTGCAGTAATGTAGAGCAGATTATTGGTGACCTATAAAGGATCGCAAAAAGAAAAGGAGTACTTGTGGAACCTTAGAGACTAACCAATTTATTTGAGCATAAGCTTTTGTGAGCTACAGCTCACTTCATCGGATGCATAAAGTGAGCTGTAGCTCATGAAAGCTTATGCTCAAATGAATTGGTTAGTCTCTAAGGTGCCACAAGTACTCCTTTTCTTTTTGCGAATACAGACTAACACAGCTGCTACTGTGAAACCTATAAAGGATCGGTTACTGACAGGGGTTGTTAGTGGTTGGTGATTGGTTACTGATTGCTGGGGATTGGCCGTTGGGGTTGTTAGTGGTTGGTGATGGGTTCCTGATTGTTGGGGACTGGCTGTTGGGGCTGTTACGGTTGGTTGTCGGTTACTGATTGCTGGCGGTTAGTTGTCGGTTGCTGATTGTTGGGGACTGGCCACTGGGGTGGTTAGTGGTTGGTTGTTGGTTAGTGATTGCTGGGGACTGTCCGGTGGCACTGTTACACTTGGTTGGTTGTCAGTTGACTGTTTACATGGTTAACATTAACAAGCCATAAGTAAATACATACAATTAGTATTACCTCTAATTCTCTAACAATACAGATTTGCACTTCAAAGCCTTAGTTCATTTAACATGGCTATGTTAACTATTTATAAGGAATAGCCCTAATTACCATTTATATACTTCTCTAACATGGCTCTAAAGGCTGAGTTTGGGTCAATTAGTTTGCTAGTTGTGTAACCCTTTCTGGTCCTGTGTCACAGAGTGGAAGTGACATCATCACTTGGCTTTTCTCCCTCCCAAATCAACACCTGGAAGAATGTCTGTCAGATAAAGCCTTTGAACTGGGGAAGAGTGGTCCCAGGTTGGAAAGGGAATCCGGTCTGTGTATTGAGGAACTGCTTGTACCATCTGTCAGGGTGAGAAAAGCTGTTCAATTCAACTCTTGCTTAGGCTAAAAGTTTAGGATTTAGAAACCATGCTTACTTTTTATGTTCTTAAGGTAACTATCTCCGACCTTTATGCCTAACCCTTATAATCACTTAAAATCTATCTTTCTGCAGTTAATAAACTTATTTTTATGTTTTATCCTTACCAGCGAGTTTGTCTAAAGTGCTTGGGGAATCTGCTCATATTGCAAAGGCTGGTGCATGTCCACTAGCCTTTGATGAAGTGGCAAACTAATTACTGTGCATTGTTTATGGAAAGGTCTTGAGCAATGTAAGATAGTACATTTCTAGGGTGCAAGGCTGTGGCTGGGGGGATTTGTTGGTGTCTTCCTGTGTATAGTTCATGAGGGGCTGTGAGAGCCTGCATGTAACTGTGGGTATGCCTTCGCAGGCTAATGGTTGTGTGAGAATGAAGCCTGAAGGGGTTGCTTGTCACTAGCAGAGCAGTATGAGAGGAACCCTGATCCAGAAAGTAAAAGGGGACATCGTGGTCCCACAGTCCAGGTTGTACCCTGTGGGTGACACAATAGCCTATGCAGGAAACTAGGCTATGGACCTGAAAGAATTGATTGCAGATATCACATGCCCTTTCATTATGTGTGCTGATCTGAGTAGTCACAGCAGATTGTGGGGAAGTAAGGAAAAGGATAACAGTGGAAAATATTTACAGAAATTCCTTGAAGAGAATAACTTTGTGACATTAAAAGATGGAGTACCTACCAGGTTCAATACGGCAGACAGAAATTTCTCATGTCTGGAACTGGGAAGAACTTCTAGCACCATAGCAAGTGAATGCAGCAGGGAAATGTACAGAGAGGAAGGACTGGGTAGTGACCACTTCCTGACATTAACTATAGATCAAGGAAATACTGAAGGCAAGGATAATATCCCCACTAAATAGGCAATTTGGAAATTCTTTAGAAGCAAAAGTGAGGAATATGTGAATGAGCAAATGCATCAGTGAAGATATTGAGGAATTCTGTAGTAATGTTACTAAGGGAATCAGAAAGACGGCCAGCCATGGGTGGTGGGTATAATATAATAATAAGATTCCCTGGTGCTGCTGCAGCCGCCAAACCCCCAGTTGCTGGGTTTTGGGGGGGAAGTTTTTGATTTATTATGCCCCATGCAGGTTCCAGGGTGGCTGAGGAGGCGGTATGTGCTATTCAGCTTCAGCACATACCACCTCCTTAGCCACCCCAGAACCTGCATGAGGCTCATCAAAAGCTTCTTCTGGAGGAAAGTCTGGGAGGTGCTTTTCTTCGGGGTCTGGGGAGGGAAGGCACAGCACGATGTGGCTGCAGCTGACCCTGGACTCCTCTGAGCAGGTTGGGAGGTGATGGGATCCCCTCCTGGGGTGCAGCCTGGGCCTGTGGGACTGCTGTGCCCCCTTAACTCTCTCCAGCCTGGGCTGTCTCTCACAGTGTCTTGCTAGTGACCAGTAGCAAACCCCTCCAGGCGCTGTGATCACTCAGCACAACCGCATGTGGAACCCCACACCCAGCTAGATTGCATGAATGCTCCCAGAGCCACTCATGAATCACACAGAGAAAGGCACCAGTCAAATCCCCCCAGCTCCTGGCACTGTACCTCAAGAATATACCATTTTGCACTGCTCAAGATGGGCAGTGCAAATTTATTAATTGGTTCACCACTTCAATAATGGAAAGTGGACATACACCAGCCTTTGTTAAACCTGAGCAGATTTACCCCACGCTTCATACAAACTCACTGGTAAAGATAAACAATTAAATGAATTTATTGACTATAAACGATGGATTTTAAGTGATATTAAGTGGTAGGCAAAAAGTCAGAGTTAGTTACCAAAGGAAATAAAATGTAAGTACACAGTCTAAACTCTCAACCCTATTAGACTGGACAACATCTAGATTAAGCAGTTTTTCTCACCCCACTGGATACTGCAGTCCTTAATATACAGGTTTGTTCCTTAAATCTGGGCCAGTCTCCTCTGTTGGAGTCTTGTTTTCTTCTCAATGTCTTAGGTGCTTGCAGCATAGGTGGGGGCAGGAGAAGGGCCCAGAACATGGCTTCTGTGTCTGTTTTATGCCCTCAGTCCATGTGCTTGGAAAACATAAGTCCAGGAATATCTGGGGCATTGCTGAGTCCCCAGGTAAAGTTGAGCAATTCCCCTGGTGTGGCCTTATGCTGGTGAGTCATTGAATTGCAGCTCCCTTGCTGGATAGTGGCTGTTGATGGTTGTTTGACACCTGCCCAGGCGTTGGTTACTTTCCTTGTTGCCTCCGGGGAGCTAATATCTGGCGGATTCCTGAACTTACAGCATGTTTTAGTGACAATCATACAACACAATTCTCTTAACTTCATATGTATTAATGATATACATATATGGATAAAGAAATGGCTCTCAGCAGGTCATAACCTTTCCCCTGATACCTTACAAGACATGCTTTATATGTAAGATCACGATTATATGAATATGGGGGTTCCAGGATGGTCCCCCAAGGTATAGAATGTCACAGAGAGGATCGGGGCTTTGGCTCCTCCAGAGCTGGGGGGACTCCTCCGGCCGAGAGGGGTGTCTCAGGGCTCCTCCGGGGGAGCGGTCTGGGGGTCCCGGTGTAGTGCGAGAAACTAGCTCTAGGAATTTGCTACCTGTAGCAGTTACTCATATGTAAGGGATTGTAAAAAAATGCTATCAGATGTAGCAAATTCCTACAGGTAGCAGTTTCTCGCACTATGCTTGCTGCGGGGTGGGGAGGAGGTCTCGGGGCTCCAGCCATGGGAGGGGGGTGGAAGTGGCAGAGCCGGGGCTAGCCTCCCCAAAGGGGGGGCTCTACCCATCACCCATGCAGCCAGATGGCTCCAGCGTCCTTCTGAAAACCTCCAGTGAAGGAGTTTCCACAACCTTCCTAGGCGTCTGTTCCATTGTCCTACTGCTCTTACATTTATTTTGTGTGGTGAGCACTTTAAGGATGGTTTCTATGAATCCCGATATTCCTTCAGTAAGAGTGCCATAGCCAGCTATGATGGGTCTGCCTGGGTTCCCCTGTTTGTGTATCTTGGGAAGCACGTAGAACAGGAGTGGGCAAGAGTAACAAAGGAACGCTTGTCCAACTCAAGCTGCACGTTTTCAATGGATAAAGGGGCTAAGACGTTGCAAACGATTGCCTCAGATTTTGTACAAGCAGATGAAAACTTAGGGCTTGGCTACACTTGCAAGTTAGAGTGCATTAAAGCAGCCCCAGGTGCCCTAACTCCCAACCCGTCCACACTGGCAAGGCACTTAGAGCTCCTGAACTCTGCAGCTGGAGCGCTCCTGGTAATCCACCTCCCCAAGGAGCATAACGCTGGTTGCGCCTCGGCTGAAATGCCCCGGCGTCCGCGTGGACGAGGTGTTGCTTTACTGCGCTGCGATCGGCCTCCCGAAACACCCCATAATCCCCTTAAGTCAAGTGACTACTTTAGTCAGTGTTTTGGAGTCGGCTGGAGGAATGCGGCTATCCCCTTTCAAAGCTCCGTTTCTGACAGCCGGCTGCTTATCTGCCCCGGGACAAAGCAACTGTTAGTGTGGAATGTTGCTTGCTGTGAGGGTGTGAGAGAGGCGGGGGGAGGGGGGTCTGAACTTACAAGACAGCACGCTGACGCACTCTCAGCACCCCAAAAACCCACTCTCTCTCCCCCCACATACACACTCCACCCCACCCTCCACATTTTGAAAAGCATGTTGCAGCCACTTGAACGCTGGGATAGCTACCACAATGCACTGCTCTTTGTGGCATTGCAAGAGCTGCTAACGTGGCCACGCCAGTGCGCTTCCAGCTGAGAGTGTAAACACTCGGCAGCGTTTTCCCTGCTGTGGTCTCCGAAGGCTGGTTTAACTCCCAGCCCTCTACATCTGCAAGTGTAGCCATGCCCTTAGATTAGCATAGTTTCCTAATTAACTGTGATGTACAGTCACTAGAAAAAAGAAAAGGAGGACTTGTGGCACCTTAGAGACTGACAAATTTATTTGAGCATAAGCTTGAATGATGAAGCATCCGATGAAGTGAGCTGTAGCTCACGAAAGCTTATGCTCAAATAAATTGGTTAGTCTCTAAGGTGCCACAAGTCCTCCTTTTCTTTTTGCGGATACCGACTGACACGGCTGCTACTCTGAAACCAGCCACTAGAAAGGAAACCGTGTCCGTGCTGCAGAGTGGTAAGCAAACACTCCCTCACTGGCCAAAACTTTTAGTTTCTGTGTCTTGCCTCAGAAAAAATCCTGAAACACTTGGTGTTAAACACTTACTTTTACCAGCATAAGTGTGTTTCTTGCTTTGAAAGTGCTGGGTAATGTCATTTTGACCACCGTTAGCAATGGAGACGTGCTCTTCATGTTTCACATACAACTTTGCTGTTGTCTAATGTTGAAGTGTCTCTGAAACCTGTTTTTTTTTAAAAACCTGAACTGTTTTTGGAGGTCTTCATTACAATTGCACAGATGTTTCCTAGACATTTTTATAGCAAAAAATGACCACACACAAACTGTTGATTCTTCTAAGGACACAGGTATGCACAAGTCCTTCCCCCCCCACCCCACCCGCAAAAAGAATAAAAGCATCACCTGGCAACATCATGTGACTGCAACATCATGTGACTGGTGGCAGCACTGCCTTCACAGCTGGGCAATGGAGAGCATCCGCTGCTTGCTGGCATGCCTGGCTCCGAAGACAGTGCCCCCCCCAGCAGCAGCACAGAAGTAAGAGTAGCATGGTGGTATTGCCACCCTTACTTGTAACACAACCAGCCCTTGACAAAGGAGATCATATGTGTGAATGAACTGTGTGTGCTCCTTGTAGGGATGTTTTGGATACATGATGTCAGACGGGTGGCAGGTTTGTAGAAATTTTGGTGGTGCCCAGAACCTGCATCTCCCCCCACACCCCCCAATTCCACCCCCCACCTGCCTAAGGCTCTGGGAAGGAGTTTGGGTGGGGGGAGGAGGTCTGGGGTGCAGGCCCTGGGCTGGGGATTAGCGTGCAGGAGGGCTGCAGGCCCTGGGCTGGAGTTTGGGTGCTGGGTGTAGGCTCCGGGCTGGGGCAGGGGGTGGGGGTGCAGGAGGTGCTGAGGGGTGCAGGGTCTGGGACAGTGTTTGGGGGTGGAGGGGGTACAGGCTCTGGGATGGCATTTGGGGGACGGAGGAGGTGTGTGGGAAGGGGGAGGGGTGCAGGCTCTGGGAGGGAATTTGGGGATAGGAGCAGGTTCAGGGGTGAGGGCTGTGGGGCCGAGGATGAGAGGTTTGGGGAATGGGAGAGGCTCAGGGCTGGGGCAGAGGATTAGGGTGCGGGGGGATGAGGGGTTTGGGAGGGGCTCGGGGCTGGGACAGAGGATTAGGGTGTGGGGGGATGAGGGCTCTGTCTGGGGCTGACGTTGAGGGGTTTGGGACATTGGAGAGGCTCAAGGCTAGGGCGGAAGGGCAGGGTAAGGGCAGCCTGCCCTGCCATTAATGAAAGGTGGCAGCAGCAGTTGATGCGGGGAGCCCGCAGAGCAGAGTCCGTGTGAGCTGCAGGCTCAGGGGCTGGGGCAGGTGCGCGGGGGCAGCAAGTGAGGGCTGGGAGACATTTGGGGGAGGTGCAGAAGGGCGGTTGGCAGGGCTGGGGGAGAGACCTGGCCCCAAACGTTGGTGGAGCCAGGCCCTATATATTTCTGGAGCTCAGGCACCACGAGTGTATATAACTCGCTGCCCCTAATGTCAGTCTGCCTCTGGCTGGGACCCAGCTCCTGCTAGCCCCTGTTTTGCTGAACCAATTTCTTGCTATGGGCCAAGTTAATCTCCAAGTCAAAGGGTTTACACCAGAGATCTCCATGGCCTGGTAAATCTGCTACTGAAACACCAGGGTAGAATTGATTTGCAAGTGTTCCTTCACAGGGCTTTCTCAGAACACTGGCCCAGCCCAACAGCTGAACACAGCACTCTGCCTATACGGCAGGCAGCCTGTTTGGCTCAGGGGGACTCTTAGCTACCACGAAATGTGCAATTAAAAGCTCTTCCTATTTCACACTGTCTCAACACTCCGGCTCCCAAGCGAGGCAAACACTGGAGCTGGGAAGAGACCATCTCGCTGCTTTCAGCCTGCGGCTGCAACTCAGCCAACCAGTAAAAATCAGCGTTTACAAATTGGAGCACTGCCACTAACCCCCATCGGATGACCCGCGTGCGGCACCCTTCAACCCTGCGGATGCTGACAATCCATGTAGCCATGATCTGTGCCCATCAGTTCCTACTTTCTTGGGGCTGACCTTGCACTGAGCTGATAAGAAAATTAATTTAGTGCTTCTATACAGCCTCCGGTTAAGTTGCTCAAAGCATTCTGTAGCGAGCCTCACAGTAAGGAAGGCTCAGACTCTGAGGCAGCGCAGAAGTAAGGGTGACAATACCATGTCACCCTTACTTCTCTGCTCTGCCCTGCAGCCAGCAAGTGGGGATGCTTCCCTGGGGGCCTGGTCTGAAATTAGCACCGCCTGACAGCAGCAAATTTCTCTGCTGCTGCTGGTGGTCATCGCTGCCTTCAGAGCTGCTCCCCCTGGCAGCAGCCACAGCTCTCTGCTCTCCACTCTGTCACCCTACTCTTCGTGCGTCCAACCCAAAGACCAGTCACGACTGCAGTCACTGAGCTCAGGGTGGAGTGCACCATTTTAATGTGTGCAGCACACTCATTTTACCAGAACACCAGGCTCCTTGGGAAGGGATTATACATCGCTGAGGTTCAATCCTTTTAAGTAAACTCCTCACTATCCTGTAATGCAAGCAGTGAAGAGCTGTCCTAGGTTGACCTAGCCATAATAACTGCCTGTAGTGTCCAGCGGAGAGCAGGGACTGCTGCCCAGGGGGGCAGCTCTTTGTGAAGGCAGCGCTGCCTTCACAAATCAGGGCAAATGTCCAGTTTTAGTGAAAAAGTAGGGATGGCCAGAACAGAGCTGAAAAAGGGGACTGTCCCTGCCAAAACAGGGCGTATGGTCATCCTACTACAGAAGGGGTGAGAGTGGGGCATTTTGAGGAGTGGGGAGCCATTGACACCTTGTGGAAGCTTTTGGGAATTACAAGAAATCAGAAAGGTTTCAGCTGTCAACATGCTACTCACACAAAGAGAAGGGGGAATAATGTGGTTGTTCCCGAACATCGTCCCCTGTGAAATGTGCAATGGGGCTCGTGTCTGGATGCAACTGTGTAGTATTACTGCAGGGTGTTTATACAGCACAAGGAGGGGACGGGGAAGGACTGAGGGGCCAGGACAGAGCGGGGAGTGAATTTGGGAAGGTTAGAGGGAAGCTCTCTGTATCTGTAACCTAACCCATTCCTTTCCATTAAGCAAGGCACCATCCTGCAGCTGCACTCAGTTCTGCACCTTATCTACACACTAGAAACTGTAATCATCATTTACTGGGGGCCCAGGCTGGCTGCTGCACAGACAGACATGGCCTGGTGCCCTGAGCTCAGGGTGTATCTGGCACAGACAGACAGATGGAGCCTGGTGCCCCGAGTTCAGGGGGCATTGGGTACAGACAGACAAGAACACCAGGCTTTACCAGGGTCTGGCGCATCGGGCACAGGCAGACACCCGTAGTCAGTCTCTCCCCATAGCTCATTTAAATGTTGGGATGGTCATTGTGTGGGGACGGAACTGGCTGTCCTGTGCACCTGACAATGGTTCTGCATGATGCACCACATGCTGTCTGCATGACTGGGCACAGGCTACTCAGGGATGGGCATGGGAGCTGCTGGGAGCTACACTAGGGAAAGCTGGGGGTGGGGTGGAGCAGGAGATCTTCCAGGTGAGCTGCAGGGGACAATGGAGCCAGGGGCTCCACAGGGGGAGCAGAGACTCCCAGCCCCAGCCCCCAGAGGAGCCCCATCAGCGTCCCCACAACCCAGGCAGCTGGCAGCCCTGGGACTGCTCTGTGCAGGATCCCACTGGCACGTCTCTCACTGCAGGCGGAGCCCAGCTCAGCCTGGCTTGCATGCGGCTCTCACAGCGCCATGTCTTCCCTCACCAGCCAGGTCATCTCGTTGTCGGGCTCCTCGGGGGTTTCTGGATTTGCCACTTCCTGGGTCTGGGGTGGTGTATCTGGAGCCCCCAGCTCCTCCAGATGCACATGACCTGCAAGCAAGAGGACAGGATGAAGCACTCGGGCCAATGACCTTTGCCCCTGGCACCACCTCACCCAAGTGCCAGGGCGCCTTTTAAATAGAACCTCACCGTAGGGTTGCCAACTTTTGAATCGCACAAAGCTGAACACCCCTGCCCCTCCCCTTCTCCAAGGCCATGCCCCCTCCCTCCATTGCTCACTCTCCCCCACCCTCACGCACTTTCACTTGGCTGGAGCAGGGGGTTGGGGTGCAGAAGGGGGTGTGGGCTCCAGCTGGGACTGTGGGCTCTGGGGCAGGGATGGGGATGAGGGGTTTGGAGAGCAGGAGGGGGCTGGGGCAGGAGGTTGGGATGTATGGGATGGGGGGTGCGGGTGGTACGGGCTCCAGGAGGGAGTTTGAGTGAGGGGACTCCAGGCTGGAGCAGGGGGTGGGGGTCCAGGAGGGGGTTAGAGGTGCGAGGTCCTGACACCGCTTACCGCGGCTCCCAGGAAGCAGCCACCAGGTCCTTGTGGCCCCTAGGTGCATGAGCGACCAGGGAGGGTCTATGCACTGTCTTCATGCACTGCCCCCACAGCTCCCATGGTTGCAGTTCCCGTCCAATGGGTGCTGTGGAGCAAGCATTTGGGGAGGAGGCAGCATGCGGAGACTGGCTCAGCGGGGGCCTGGGGCTGTGGCACTGACCGGAGCTGCCATGGTCATTTTTTGAACAGGCGTTCTGGTTGAAAACTGGATGCCTGGCAACCCAACCCCACTGCCAGGGCAGGGCTGTAGGGATGGGGCACCCGCAGGCCGGGACCGTGGGCCTGTGTGTGGCAGTCAGAGCAGGGTCCCCAGTAGCTGTGAGAGCAGCAGGTCCCCATGCAGGGAGGCAGCACAGGGCATGGACAGGGCACTGGGTTCCAGCTGGTGCTGTACTCCTGGGTTAGGATGGCAACCCTCATCCTAGCCCTGCTTCCTTGCAGCGCTGTGCTCCAGGTCCAGGCCTCTTACCCAGGGGGTTCCTAGCAGCTCTGCCCCGACGCCTCCTCCAGCAGAGCAGGGCCCCGCAGATCAGCACCACGACAGCACCCAGGCTGAGGAGCACGGACCAGAGCAGCCCAGAGTCTGGGGAGAGAGCCAGGCAGTGAGCTGTGCCCCCCTCCACGGACCTGCCACAACCATGGGGCTGATCCCTGCCTCTGCCCCACAGCCCCCGAGACTGACTCTCTCCCCTCCCACAGCCCCCTGCCAAGGCTGACTCCATCCCCTCGCCTATAACCCCCCATGGCCCGACTGTCCCTACCCCACAGCCACCCCCCCCCCCACGGCTGACTCCCTCCCCTGCCCCACAGTCCCTATGGAGCTGATTCTGTTCTGCCCTCCACAGCCCCCATCCTGAGGCCACCTCCCTGCCCCACCCCGCAGCCCGACCTGGGATTGAGTTTCTTGCCCTCAGAACCTTGGCTGCCAAGCCCCTGCCCTCTGCCACAGGCCCTGAGGAGGAGGGCAAAGTGTGGGGCAGTGCAGGGCCCTGCGCGGGGGATGGCTAAGGGGTTGTCAACTGTCAATCACACAAACCTAAACACTCTTGCCCCGCCCCTGCCCCTTCCCCAAGGCCTCACCCCTTCTCACTCCGTTCCCCCCTCCCTCCGTTGCTCGCTCTCCCCCACCCTCACTCACTTTCACCAGGCTGAGGCAGGGGGTTGGGTGCGGGAGGGGGTATGGGCTCTGGGAGGGAGTTTGGGTGCGGGAAGGGGCTCAGGGCTGGGCTGCCCCCAGGGAACACTCCCTAGCCCAAGGAGTCTGGGGGAGGGGGATGTGTTAGAGAGAGGGTTGGGGGCACTAGCTCCCAGAGGCCTCTTCCCAGCTGCTCTCACAGGCCCTGTCCCTCAGACTCCTCCCCAGGCCCTGCCCCCCAGACTCCTCCCCAGGCCCCACAGGCTCTCTGCCCCGCAGATCTGTGCTCTGGGTTTGCCTGCAGGGGTTGCAGCCTCCAGCACCGGAGCCAGGGCTGGCAGGAGAGGGAGCCCCGTGGCAAAGGAGGCTGCTCAGAGACCCAGGAGTGGTGCCCCAGGCTGAGCAGGGCTGTCGGAACCGCTGGGACAGCCAGTATCCTCGGTGTGGTGAGCAGGAGCCCTGGCGCTGCCCCCCCGGAGCCCGGCCACCCCCTGGCATGGCCAGGGTGTCTCTCCCGCCCACCCCATGTCTGCAGGGACATGGGCATGGCTACGGCGCACAGCGCTGGTCACTCACCGGCCTGCCCAGCACACACCACGCTGGCCTCGGAGCCACGGCCACACAGCCCGGGACCCAGCCGGCTCAGCTGGCACTCAGTGATGAGAGACTCCTGGCCCAAGCAGCTCACGCCCTCCAGCCAGACGTCGCCGGCCCCGTGACCGAACTGAGCAACGCCTGGGGCTGACAGCGCCGTGCCGCAGCCCAGCTGCTTGCACACCACCCCCGCCTCCGGCAGGCCCCAGCCAGCGTCACACACGGCACCCCAGGTGTCGTTAATCAGCACCTCCACTCGCCCGGAGCAGGAGCTTGGGCCACTTGTCAGCCGCAGCCTCAGCTGGCCCTGATCTGAAACACAAAGCACAGGGCACAAGAGGCTGTTCCCTGCTGCCGGACGCCCGAACACCCGGCACCGCACGCGGATGGGGGAGTGTCTGCACAGAGCAGAGAGGAGCATTTCTATATCACCCCACCTGTGTGTGCGCACACGCACTCACAGACACACACGCGCACTGCACCCCCCCACACGCAATGCCACACAAGCAGACACACACAGAATCCCATGCACAACCCCCATACATCCCTATGCACACCCACACATTGCCTCAAACACACATACATACTGCACAGCCATACACATGCTGCTACACAAGCAGACACATACACAGAGTCCCATGCGCAACTCCCATACATCCTTATGCACACACACATTGCCTCAAATACACACATACTGCCATTAGGGTTGCCAACTGTCTAATCGCACAAACCCAAACACTCTTGCCCTGCCCCCTTCTCCGAGGTTCTACCCCCACTCACTCCATCTTCCCTTCCTCTGTCGCTCGCTATCCCCCACCCACTTTCATCTGTTTGGGGCAGGCAGTTAGGGTGCAGGAGGAGGTGTGGGGTGCAGGCTTTGGGAGGGAGTTTGGGTGCGGGAGGGGGCATGGGAGCTGCAGCCAATGGGAGCTGCGGAGTCAGCACTCAGGATCAGGCAGCGCCTAGAGACTGCCTGGCCACCCCTGTGCCTAGGAGTCAGAGGGACGTGGTGCTTGCTTCTGGGAGCCATGCGGAGCCAGGGCAGGTAGGGAGCCTGCCTTAACCCTGTTGCGCTGCTGGACTTTAGCTCCTAAAATCTCCTGGATTGGTTTCAGTAGCCTCAGAGATCAAGGCCAATTCCGGGAGACTCCAGGGCAGTCTGGGAGGGTTGGCAACCCTAACTGCCACACATGTATGCAAGTATTCATAGACTGTCCTGTGCACACCCTTTCATACACACACACACACAGATGCTGCCACAAACAGGTACAGAGACAATCACACACATACACCACCGCACCCTCTTCAGAGCCCCCACCCCACTATCAGCAGCACAGGCTCCTACCACCCTTTTTGTTACCTGAGCACACAACACTGGCATCTTCTCCAGGGTTACAGCCATGCTCTCCCCAAGGCCTAGCCTTGCATTCGGTGAGGGCAGCTTCTGTCCCTGTGCATTGAACCTCATCCAGCCACACATGGTCAGATCCTTGTCCAAAGTGAGCCCCATGTGGTGCTGATAATGCTGTCCCACAGCCCAGCTGCCTGCACACGACTTCAGCCTCGGACAAGCCCCAGGTGTCATCACACACTGTTCCCCACTGCTGGTTATGAAGCACCTCCACTCTCCCAGCGCAGCGACTCGGGCCGTTCACCAGTCGGAGCGAAGCCACTTCTGAAATGCCTGAGCCTGCAAACACCCAAGGGAATAAAGACTTAGGGAGGTTCCTGTGCATCTGATCTGTAGTGACACAGGGAACGTAGTGTCTTGAGAAACAGGACTGGCTGGAGAGGCAGACTCTGGAAATTGAGAGCGAGGAAAATGCCATCTGCTTTTGTTTTTTACTGTGTTCAGGGAAACAGGACTTTGTAAATAAACCAGACTGCACAAAAGAAACACTTGACTTGTGTAATCAATTTCTCCTCTGCCCAGAAACACCTGTCAAGGCCCCACTATGGATAATGCAACAAATGGGCAACACTCCTCATTTAGGAAGAGCAGAGGGGGCACATGGCAGTGGGGAGTGGCACCCTGACTTGCTTTACAGTTAGTGAGCACTCAACAGTGCTGGACATGGAAAGCATAGGGAACACTGTTCCCATTGAGACATGGCAAGAGGGGGTACCACTGGGATCTGCAATGCCCCCCAAATCAAAGACTAGGGTGAACAGCACTTTGAACGCCTGCTGCAATGTGTTGAAAGACACTCTGTGTTGCTCTGGGGAATCAGTGTATGGGAGCCTGCAGGGATCTTGTGCTGCCACGAGAAAAACATCCCTGGAGTTTCTAAGAATGATCAGTGATAATTTTCTAACACAACAAGTATGGCCCCTGACTCGGGCTGGCCCTACAGGAGACTGATGGATAAAGGAGAATTTAATCACAGAATTACAAATGGGAAGGTGCAGAGGTGCAAGTGATCCAGACCTGATTACACTGGCTATGTGCAAACACAAAACTGCCCTGACAGTGGTGATGGGGTGTACTAGATGTTTGCTGCCCTCTGCTGGACACCCCACCACTTTGGCACACCCTGCCCTGACAGGCTGCCCTGCTGGAAGGGAAGAGCAGCGAGTTCAGATCGCCAGGGGATGCCTTGAGAGGTCTCCCACGATCAGCTGCAGGCAGAATCAGCGAGAGTTGGTCCCTCAGCACCTGGAAGCATGGGGAGCAGAGAGAGATCAGGGCCCAGCAGGGCAGATGAAAAGGGCTGGCTCCTTCTAGAGGCCCGTTCTGGTGAAGCTGGGACAGGGAGGGCTGGTGGGCCAGTTTCCCAAAGCTGAAAACAATTATGAGCAAAATTGATTGAGAAGAAAGGTTTAAATCCAAACTGTGAATGATAATTGGAAAATGTTTAGGATGCCCTAGTGATTGCTCTGAATGATCCCAACTAACACTGCAACCCCCCCCCCCCAGCCCCAGCTGTCAACTCCACAATCACAGAAGATGGATTAGTTGGTTAAAAAATATCCTGGTTAAGAAGGGAAGTAATGCAGCAACAAATAATGATGATTAGTAATTAAAACAATATCTAACAAACAGAAAATGAGGGAAGCTGAAAGCGAAGGCTATAAATTAGCAGTAAGGAGATGCAGACAGTTGATAAGGGAACCTAAAGTATCAGTGTATATAATCTATGGCCAGTACACTTCAGTACAGTTATGCTGGGGCTGGTGGGATTGCAGGGTTAGTTGGGATCATTCAGAGCGATCACTAGGGGCACAGAGCAAATAGGTAAGAGTCTGTGTGTAAACAGGAACTGAAGGCAGCCCTGGGTATCTGTCATCTCTACAGGGTATGAGGGGTGGGATCAAAGAAAAGCCCAAGAGATCACAGTGCACCCCCTCAGAAAGGGGAAAGGGGGAAAGGAAAACACACCAGTTGGCTCTCCAGCAAGGCCAGAACAGCCAAAAGTTGCAGAGCTAACAGCCGAGCAGATGGAGAAGAGGCCTAAATGCACAGAGGGCCCAAAGAGACGGGCTGTGGTGAGTCCAGGCTGCAGCAGGGAATGAGGGTGGGTGAGTAAGGGATGCAGAAGCTAAGATGAGGGTTGCCAACATTGTATTTAAAAATACAGGCCAGACCTCAGATGTCCCCAGTCTTGACTTGAACCCCTAGTGGCAAGTCCCTTCCCCCACCCCCGACTTCCTAGGGCTTGTCTCTCTGCAGCATCTGGAGCTGGAGAGATCCCAGGGCCTCAGATGCTGGGTCAGCAGCTGCTGCAACTCCTCTTCAGGTTCTGCGTGGGCGCCAGGTGCCGAGTTGGAGGCTGCGGTTGCTGGTCTTTGCCTGCTGCAGGGCTGTGAACCCTACGGGGGACGTTGGCAAGACTCTGCGAGCAGGGAGGCTACACCCTGGGAGTACTGACCCCCCCTGCCAGACAGAGCCCCTTCCTGACCATGGCCCTTCAGCACAGCTCCAGGGACCCAGCCCCGTTCACTCGCCCTCTTAGACGGAGCCTGCACCGGGGCCGTGCTCAAGGGCTGGAGTCAGCAGGGGCCCTGTCCAGCAGGGGTCCAGTATTCACAGGCGCATCTTTCTACTCCCCTCCCGACCCTGAGCGCAGCCATATCTGCTTTCTCTGAGAAGCACTGAAGGGTCGGGAGGGGAGTGTAAAGATGCACCTGTGAGTACTGGCTCCTGCTGTTGGAATACAGGATAAAAGGTGTCCCATGCTGACTCAGTACGGGACAGGCAATTTTCTGTTTAAATAAGCGACATCCCTTGTAATATGGGACTGTTGGCAACCCTAGATGAGACCCAGAGCAACATCTGTCAACAAATGCTTCCTTACTGGACCACATCACCCTAGGCTACACAAAGGCAGCACAGAAAAAGGGGAAGGGTCTACAGTCTGGTAAAAACAGCAGAAACAGCTCCATCTGACCCAGCTGTTTCCAAACTCCACCCCTGCAGAATGTGATTGACAGCACCCTGCGGGTTGGCCACTCTGGGTAGGCAGATTGCAGAAGTTGCCTCAGGTGTAAGTCTTTCTGAGCTCAGCAATCAGAGGAGAAACAAGGGAGTGCCGTGCACTGTACAATGGGCCTGCAGCAGAGTCGTTGTCCCTCCCAGAAGCCTCACAGCTGCTCAGATGAAACCGTTCAAGACAGTGAAAGAAGAACTGGATGAGCATTTCATGCCACGCTGCACGGTGGTGTCTGAGCAGGAACAATTTCATTTATGTAAGCCAGAGAAGGGGGAGCCAGCGAATGAGTTATAAGAGCCCAGGAGCACCTAGTCGAACACTGTGGCTATTGGGAGGTGAGTGAAGAATGTATCAGAGACAGGCTCATGGTAGGGCTGAGGGTCAGCCAACTATCAGAATGACCCCAAAATGTACCCAACTAGACCGTTGCTGGTCTGAGTTCCAGAGAGTTCAGGAGAAGGAAGATGAATAGAAAACTTAGCAGAAGAGGGACTTTGACAGGGGCCACAGAGTCAAATCCTTGGGAACACCGAATCCCAGTGATCACATTGGGGTGGAAGATTCTCGAGAAAAGGGAGCAGCACTGGGATGTGCTGGGACCCCTTGATCCTACTTTGTTAGGGAATCATCTGTTGGAACTGGTGTCACAGTTTTGTAGGTTCTAAAGCCAGAAGGGACCAACGTGATCATCTATTCTCACCTCCGGTATAACACAGGCCAGAGAACTGTCCAGAAACAATTCCTAGAGCAGATGGTTTAGAAAAACGTCCAATCTTGATTAAAAAATTGCCAGCAATGGAGAATCCACCACAACCCTTGGAAAATTGTTCCAATGCTTAATTACTGTCACTGGTACAAATGTATGCTTTATTTCCAGTCTGAATTTGTCCAGCTTCATCTTCCAGCCACTGGATTGTACTATACCCTTCTCGGCTAGACTGTTTGTTCCCTATGTAGGGACTTATAGACTGTGATCAAATCACCTGTGACGGGGTGGGGGAACCCTGTCTAGTGTGGGGTGAGTGCACCCCATCCTCTGAGCTGCCTCAGATCGGTGAGGCCAAATGGCTAGAGTCAATACAATTGCCTCTGCCTCCAGTACTGTATAGCCTAGTGATCAGAGTCAATTCGGCTGCCCTTGTCCTCAGGGGTTAGAAAACCTGATGGTAAGGGTTGATATCCTTTATCCCTCAGGGCTGTGTGGCTCAATGGCCAGAGTCAATAGGACTTCCCCTGCACCTCAGAGCTGTGTGGTCCAGCCTCAAGAGGGCCATCAACTAGCGGACCAAGCTCTGGTTTGGAGGAATAGGGGTTGATAAGGAGGGCCTCCCTAGCTTTCCATGCCTTCAGCAGATTAACATGATACATGCGCATGACATCACACTGGTAGCTAGATCTCAATCTACTGGTCTGACCCGCCGAGTGACCTTGAAGGGACCTTGCCACTTAGCCAGGAGTTTGGATTCCATCGAAGGTAACAGGAGTAGAACCCGGTTTGAAACTCGGTAAGTGGGCCCCTCTGTTATATTGCTGAGCCTGGGTCCTCTGGGCCTGTGTTAAATTTTCTCTTGCAAAGGTCCCCAGCATCAGGAATCGTTCCTGCAACTGCAACACATGATGAGCCACTCCCTTCACCCTCTCGATGGATGCCAGGCCAGAAGAACCTCCGTGATACCCTCTGGAGGGTTTTTTCTCTGAGTGGGCCACATGTAAGAGGCCCCGGTACAATTTTCAAATAACCAATAGCTGTCAGAGCATTTCTTACGTCTGGGGTTCCTCCACTACCCTATAGAGGCAGTCCCATCTTGAAGTAGGGCCCCAAGAGGTCTGGGGCATACCCTCTTCCTCCTGGTCCCTAAGTGTGTCCTGTTCCCAGGCTCGACTAAGAGTCAGGTCCTCTTGTTGTTTGCGGACGAAATCACCATCACTCTCAAGTTCTGCATGTGAATCTTCTATGGGTGTGTCTGCCTGAGTGAGAGACAAGATCAGGGATCCTCACAAGCTGAGAGGGTCTTCTAGGCTGTGACTGAGGAGCTCCCTCAGTGTTGTCCCATCATTATCTGCTATTAGCGAGTAATGGGTGCATCCTTGCAAGAGTTTCCAAAACCACAGCTAGTCCCACCCCAAGATCACTGGATAGTGCAGTTTAGGGGCCACACCAACTTGAAGGGCTGCACTATGGTGGGAGATGTCTAGCGTTGCCCAGGTAGTTGGATAAGAGCGCACATCTCCGTGGATGCATTGTAATGGTATTTGGGTC